TGGAACATGTTCCTCCCCTCCGTCCGTGGGCGGCACCCGCCGCAAGGAGCATTTTCTCGCCTCCCCGATTTTCTAACTTGAGCTATGCCGATCTATAGCACTGCACTACTCCCATCCCGCCTCTCAGCTCCCCCTCCTCTTCATAGTTCACCTTCTCCAACCACTCTGCAGGCCTCAAAAACCAAACACAGATCCTGGTGACTGCTTCACGTGTGAACAACACATCTCAACAGGCTGAACGCAACAGCCCAGCCGAGAGCAGCACAGGCAGCCGCATGCTACGCAGCAGAGGGAAGCAACAGGGGCGGGGCCGCCCGCTGCGCGGTCATTGGTCGCTCGCTGGCGTGCCTGTCCTGCTGTGCGGGTGCCCTTGTAACACCCGCTGCCACGACTGCAGCCATGGCAGGATCGCCGGCAAGTCCACATTTGCCAACTCCAGCGCAAGCACCTCCCGCAGCACCTGCCACTGCCGCGCCTGGCCAGGCCACAACAGCAGCCCCACAAAGTCAGCCGCCGCCGCGCTGGCTCCTGCTTGCCGGTGGCCGGCAGGTGCTGGCGCTGGTGATGGAGAGGCAGGGCCCATGCTGCCGGCATCATCCGCCGCCGTGCCTGCCTCCAGCAGCTGCTGCAGGGGCAGCTGCTGGAGGCAGAAGAGGACCCAAGCCGGTGCATCCAGCACCAGCTGCCAGGCCTGCGCCTGCCTCTGCCGGCCAGCTGCCAGGCGCTGCCTCTGCTGCTCGCATGAAGCATGATCCCACGCATGCACAGGCTGGGCATCGCTGCCGTCCTGCTGCTGCTGCTGCCGCTGTGCCAGCGGCAGGCCACTGTCTGACGGCGCTCCGCTTGCGGCAGCAATGTAGGCCCGCAGCAGCGCCACTGCCTGATCCAGCCCGGCGGCAGACGGCGGCTGTGTGTGCAGCAGGGCTGCCGCGGGGACCAGGTCAGCAGGGTACAGCACCCGCAGCTCTGCCGGCAGCTGCCCGTCCCTCTCCAGCTGCTGCCCACGTGCGCCTGCTGCAGCCCGCAGCAGGAGCAGCAGCAGGCGCCAGGCCACCGGGCTGCCGCTGGCCGCCAGCCACCCGTGGAGCGTCTGGCGCATCGCCAGGTGCAGGGCAGGGTGGCGGGCCGCCGCCGCCGCCGTGGCTGCCCAGTGCGGCTGGCGCGCAAGCACCTGCTGCAACGCGGCCCAGGCGTCTGTGCCTTCTGGAGCGTCGCCAGCCTGCTGCGCTTGCTGCTCCTGAAGCTGGGTGGCGGCCTGCAGGATCTCCGCCAGAGCCTGCTGCAGGGCCTGCAGGGCGGCCAGGAGGAGCCAGCATGAATGGGCGGACGGGCAGCACAGATGCGCCTTGCAGGATGAGGTGTATGGCGGCTATCGGCAGCGACACCGGGTTTGCATATTGCGATAAGCGCAGAAACCTGCAGACGCAGAGCATGGGTACCACCTCTCACCGCGGGCTCTAGCATCCAGTAGGCCGCCCAGCCCGCCTGTGTCAGCTGCAGGCTCGGCTCCTGCTGTGTCGCATGCTGCTCCGCAGGCGGCGGCAGCTGGCGCAGCAGCCACAGCAGCTGCTGCACCGCGGCATGCAACGGGCTGGGATCGCCGCTGCACGCCTGCCAGGGGGGCGTGCCGACTGCCGCCAGCAGCAGGCTGTCCAGCGGCGGCAGGTGGGCACAGCTGGCGTCAGCAGCCGCTGGCCCATGCGCCCGTTGCTCCGCTCCG